AGCTTTCCAAGTAGATTTCCAAGTAGAGCTAGAAAAACAGCAATGCCAGCTTTCCAATGATGAGTGCAGTTTCCAGAATAAACAAAACCCGTGCTGCATTGGAACAGGGAACACACTCTACAAGTACCATAGAGATTTTTATAAGGCAAATATCAAATTATGCAACACCTTGCTACAAATCCATTGCCAGAAGCCAGTGACTAAGGTAATCAACTGAATTTGCCATTTTCTACAGTATTTCAATATCACCAAGCAGGCACATTTTCCTAAACTAGCTAGGACAGCACTGATTTCATCAAGAATTCAGTATATTTGAGAGGAAGTTAGCTCTAGCTTAGTTTGTTGATGCTTATTTCGTACTGTGTAGCTTATAAATATTCTCCCCCTGCCATGTTGTACCTGTAGCAGAGAAAACAATTTACTGGAAACAGACACAGCTCAGCCTCAGCAGCTAAAGCTATTGTTGTTATTGATTGTGTGATCTCCTGTGCTCACACTTTGACTAGGGGTCAAACAAACTGGTTTCAGTTAAAGCAAGAATTTTAACTTTTCTCTTTCACTTCAAATGTACTAAATCTTCATAGATGATTCATTCTGAGTATAGGTGTGTTTCTAAAAAAACCATACCTCCTACCTTGCTCCCCCCCAAGCAAGCAGGTGGGAGATAACTGGCTGCTCTGATTGGGCTCCCACAGGGTTGTGCCGGGAGTGAGCCCTGCTGCACTTTCAGGAACACCAGAGGACTGACTGGGTGAGCTGAGGCAGGAGGCTGTTTCCCAGACCCTGCTGCATGGTAGCAATTATTTCTATTCTTGCAGTCTTCTTTGATTCCGCAACTACTGTTTCTATTTACTGCACAGCTTGCAAAGCTAGTCTCCGAGCTTGCCTTGCAGAACCCAGGGAATGCTTTTGCACCCATATTTCCTTCTTGGCAAGAGAAAATGAAGTCAGCTATATCCAGTGTCTTTTTATCTCTATATCATGTTTTTGCAAAGATAGAAAGAAATATGTCCTGGTCATTCACAGTTGATCCAAGGGATAGAAAGTGACTATGAGACAGTCTTGGAGTCCTGTTTCTAGTTAGAAATGACTCTGAAGAGCTTTTCTGTGCTACCAGAGGACTACCAGTCAGTGACAGGCACGTCTTTTGCTGCGGGCTGCCAGCACAAGTTTCCTTTCATTGACCTTCTGAGCAGCAGCCGCTCTCCTCCCTGGGGATCATCCAGTGCACATTTTCCAACAAAACTCCTCACGCAGACAGCATTTACATTTCCTATTAACCTTTACAGGCCAACCAGAGAAGACTCAGCCCAACACCCTGCCCCTGCAATGGTAGAGCAGTGACAGTGCCTGGCTCCTATTCAGGGCAAGGACCACACATTTCTACCAGTTAGTTAGGGCTAAGATAGAATTTTAAAAGACTGCATTTAAAATATACATAGCAGCTAACATTGCAATAAGATATGTATGAAACAATCTGAGTGAATAGGCATTTGTCTCAGGTTCATGCTTTCAGATGAGCCTGAAATGGAAACCAAGCAGTAGGCAACAGAAGCATCAACCTGTCTTTGCTCACTTCTTGGGCTGAGGCCCGGTCTGTGCATGGATCTGCTCAGAATGCAGCAAAAGACAAAGAAGAGGGCTGTTTTTATTAAACTGAAATCTAGGAAATATGATACTTTGTGAAAAGGAAGCCATGAGAACACGTATAGAAGTGAAACCAGCCAATATCACATCATATCATAGAATCATAGAATGGCCTGGGTTGAAAAGGACCACAATGATCACCTAGTTTCAACCCCCTGCTATGTGCAGGGTCACCAACCCCCAGACCAGGCTGCCCAGAGCCACATCCAGCCTGGCCTTGAATGCCTCTGGGGATGGGGCATCCACGACCTCCTTGGGCAACCTGTTCCAGTGCATTACCACACTCTGCATGAAAAAACTTCCTCCTAAAACTTCCTTTCATCAGCTTTCCAGCTGATTTTTCTGCTTCATGAAAGCTGCATTTGCTGAGGTCTGCCTGCAAAATCGTGGCCATGATCAGTGTCAGCAATTCTGTGGGCAGCTGAGCCACAGAAGGCCTTCCTGCCGCTGGGATGCCCGCTCCCCTGCTTGGGTTCTGAGACCCATCACTGTGCAAAGGAGCCAGGATTTTGGGGACATGTTTACACAAATAGGGAAACATACCCTGGCTCAAGCTTGACTGTCATACAATTGGTTCGCCATACTTTTCTTATAAAAAGGCATTTTGTTGGTAAACTTTTCTTGCTTCTCAAACTAAAAGCAGGCCTGCCCCTCCAAAACCAACTTGGATCTAAATAGACCACAAGGTTTTTCAGGAAAAGGATGCCTAGTATAAAGACTGGCATCTGTAAATGTCAGTCTAACAGAAAGTTTGACTTTTCTGTTCCAAAATATCCTTCCCAGTTCTTAAGTCTGGGAAAATATTGAACGATTCAGTGAGGTTATAATGATGTTTCAGTTTGCTGGAAACGTTTTAATTCTTTCCGCAGCTCCATTAAGCATTTTCCTCACAGAAGAATTTGCTGGAATAGTTGATGTGGAATAAAATACTCCACAGTGCCCATCCAGGACAGAAATGTTCCGGCTCAGTACACTGCTGCCTTTTTCTTAGTTTAGCCCATTTGGGGAATTAAATTAAGCTAAAATGGATTCTCATTTGGAATAAGTTTCCAGTCACAGAGGTGCTCAGGAAACAGTTTAAATTTTAAATGAATCTGAGTTAGCTTCAGAGCAATTTCCTAACATTGAGTCTCATTTTATTACCATACGTCCCAGGGAGGAGATGGAAAATGAAGAAACATACAAAATCCCCAGACGTCTCCACACGGCTTTCAAAAGGTGATTTGGCTTCACTAGGATCCAGCTGAGAGCAGCAGTGAGCGAGAGCTTAAGGAAAATCCCACTGTGTCAGACAACTTTCCCTTTCAAAGACTGGCTTCCCACAAGAAAGCCCATGGGAACCAGAGGACAAGCTGAAAGCCCCGCATTGCGAAATGTCAGTGACGTGCGTTGCCCTGAGGATTGGTCCTTGGGATGACTCTGCAGGCAGCGTGGAGTGAGTTTCAGACTTCATGCTTAGGGACTGAGGGGCCTACTGCTGATGTGACAAATATTGCAGGGAATGGAAAAATAAATGAAAAAAAAAAGCTCTCCTTGCTTCTCCTGCTATCGGAAGTGCATGGCACCCTGTTCCACTTGCTAGGCAGCAGATTAGCAGAAACAAGTGGGAATGTGTCCTCACAAGCACTGTGATGACTCTGTGGATCATCAAGGGGACAAATGCATCAAAGCTCTGTTATACGACCAGCTAGAGTAGGAGCAGTGTTGGTATGTGTGATTGTTAGAGCTGAATTGAGTGGCTAAGAAAGGTCCGAGTGCAACTGTTCACAAGCAGTAAAAAAAAATCAATGTCATTATAAGTCCTCTGTCCGCATTCACACTATAAGACTTCGGGATGAGCTTGTTTTACAGCAAAGACAACCTGGCACACTTGAGCACAAAAGTTCTTTCCTAGCATTTATTTTAGGGATGTGTTACTTGAGAAGGGGGTAAGAGCTGAATCCCATTGCTGAGAATCATGCTGTGCTTTCAGAGGCTAGAACACGATGCCAGCAGCTTGGGCTGGGGACTTCCTGCCTATTTTTAGCGTGTTGCAATCCTAGCCTCTCACCCACACTTTCTCACCCCCGCAGGATGTTGGCACTGGCCCCTCTGCAGCTGATGATGAGCTAGCTGCCTGCATCCCTTCCTGGCTGTGGCACTGGTGTTGGCTCTTACACATAGGCTGGGGCGAGAGCACACACTGAAACGGGGGTTGGTGGCAAAACTGCTTTCAGCCACTTTTCTGGTGGGGAAAATTTAAGAAGTGACTCAGAGCTCTCAAATACTTGATAGCACAGTGCTAAACCTACATGTGTGTTTCTCACAGGAGCTGTTAGCGTGGTACCCAACCCTGACCTGCAGTCTGTTTGGCTGACCTCTCTGCTGTGAGCCACAACGTTATTGATGACCCCACAGCTAATTACCCATTACACACATCCCAGGATACCAGCCTGTGGTGGGACAGTGATTACTGTGCATCTGCTGTGCACAGTTCTATGCTGACAGTCAGCAGGAGCAGATTGCTGTACATCCCCCACCACCCCACCCCTCCATGGAGAGGGACACACTTTACTGCTCACACATCTCTCTGAAGAGAAAGAAATTCCAGAAACCTGCTGGCTCTGCTCGTTGGATTTTGCAGCAAGCCCAGGTGCAGCTCTTACTCGATAGGTTTAAGATCTATTCAAACAACTTCCAGACAGCGGCAAAGCTTTTTTTAGCAAAGGCCCACGCACACACAGCACTCCCATATGCACCATTCACTGTGCTGCTTCTTAATACTTTCCATATCAGTCACTGCTGCACATCAGGATATACATATTGAGATGTGCCCTTCCCTTTTGATTCATTCAGAATTGTCACCATGCGCACTGTGGATGTCAGAGTGGTGTCACCTGTCGCTTGCACTGCCCTGTGATACAGCACAGTAAAAGTGAGGCTGTTAGGAAATGACGCCTCGCTGCTGCCATGGCAGTGGCAGCAAACAATCAGAGCACATTAGATAACAGGGCATTTAATAATGTACTGTAGTAACAGTATCTGACAGGGTTTGGGCAAGGAAAAGTGAAAGGCTGGGACTCTGGCTTTGGCTTTAGACAGTGCTGGGTGATTCTGATAGAGCTGAGCACAAATTAAAAGCACATAGTCACCAGGAAGAGCCTCTAACTTCTGCAGTCTGCTTTTCCAAGAGCACTCTGTTCCTGGAGCTGCAGCTTAGCATGACACATTCAGTTTTCTTTTTTTCTATCACCTGTGGTTACAAAACAAAGGCTGAAATGTGATTTCCAAATACACAAGAGACTACAAAGCTAGCATCACCCCAGCCCCAACTACCCTCCCTCAATCCCAGTACTTTCTCTTCTGAATTAAAATGCTTTTGTTTGTTCTTACTTTTACATTTAAGGTTGAGGACTAACATGAAGTGGCACAACATCACCATCTTTGTTTGCAGCCTTTCTCAGTGCAGTGGGCTGCAGAAGACATCAAAATCCTCAACTGTGTGGAACTTAAACAAAAAAAAAAATTATTTAGACCTTGCCATGGAGGGTCAGAGACAGACTTCCAGCAGCTGCTGCTTAAAATAGCAATGGTTTTCTCAGTTTATAAATGTAAATACCTCTAATGGGCACAGCACCACAGATAGGGGCCGCTTCCCCTTCATTTCTGTAAATCTAGTGCTCCAGATGAGGGATCAAACAAAACTGCCAAAATAACAATGCATCATGGAAAACCTGCAGGCAGGCTGAGATGATGCACGAGCACGGGACTGCGTGCAAATCCAGAAACAGGCTCCACGTCCTTGGATACACATCAACTGGTGTGCAAACACAGCAAGGGAACACAGCTCTGCTCCTTGCTGCTGCCTGGGTAAGGGCTGTGCCCAGGACCCCATAGCCATCACTCCCCATCAGGTCGCACAGCTGTGCTGCAACGGCCACCAGAAAGTGCCTCACTGAACACAAAGAGGTGATTTCACAACTAATGCAGAAACTGAACAGGCTGTTGAATTCAGCACAGTGTCGCAACCCCTGTATGTCCTTCCTTGGGCATGGGAGGCTCTTGCTTTTTGACAAAACAGCTTGTGCTTAATTCATCGTAGTTACTGTCTCATGAATAAAGGAATAAAGGCTGCTTTTTTTTTTTTTTTTTTTTTTTTGCATAATTTGAAATGTGGCATGAAGGGGCCTGAAAACTTTCAGGGTGGGTTGGTTTTTTGTGTGCAGTTTTTGTTTTATTTTCCCCCTTCCATTCTTGTGAGTCGGATGCTCATAGTTTCAATCCCATTCAGGAACACATTATCTTATGACTAGTATTGTCTTCCTGGCACACCACGTGAAGTCAGGCAGTGACTACTTGCTGACACTGAGCTAATCCCCAAGGAAAAAGATGATCCCAATAGACAGTGAACCCAATGGAAAGGCAGTTTTATCTGAAATGCTCTGGCCAGACCTCACACTTGCACTCACATAGCTGTAGGATCTGAGCACACAGACACAGAGGTAGTTTGGGTTTACATCTCTCTTTGTCCCACAGCAGCTCTCCTCAATGTGGATGACCTTAAAGATGAAAAAAAAAAAACCATGAGAAGTAAAACACAAGCAGAAACCATCAGTTCAAACATTTTACATGAATCACCAAAACTGCACATTTTTATACAAACAGTGTAATGTAGCTCTTGATGGTTTTGCATCTCTGCAAACGCAAGAGGCAAAGCAGAAGACACAAATATATTTTGTTACATCTAAACATTCCAATAACCAGAAAAAGAACGGGGGCAGGAATAGGGGCACAAGGAATTAGGGTAAGACAACGTTATTTATAAATAAATTCTCTGGGGGAAAGACATGAACAACTTTTCTACCAGAAGCCTTGCATTCTTGCCATATTTTCCTTAAACACTTTGAGGACTTGATTATTCTGAGAAGCTGCTGGTACAACACACAAACCTCTCTGATGGCTCAGCAAAGTGCTAGCACGCAAAGGGCCCGGCACCAGTCTGTTCTTTGCTTCTGCACAGGGCTGATGGCAGAACTGGGTCTTCCCTTGCACCAAACTGGGCAAATCCTCGTCTAGCAGCCAGGAACCTGAGCTCCCACTGTCCACGTAAAGCTTTGCTCTCCCTGCTGCCAAAAGAACACACATCACTGATGGGCTGAGGTTCCTTTCCTGCATCGCTGGAGATAGATTGTTTGTACATCAGAGATTACTGCAAAGTCTAGACCGGACCATTCTTGTCTGTGGAGAAAATGAGAAAGTACAAAAGGTGAGTCCAGGTTATGTTTATAGACGTTCTGTGCAGCCGCAAAGTGGTACAGAAACTAGAGAATGCAGAAGGGCACTGAAAAGTACCAGCTCCAGGCAGATCTCTTATGTCACCTACCTGTGAACAGTCTGCAGGGAGATGCGAGCATGGCTGCTGCCACCACTGAGCTAGGAAAACAGAACATGTGTTGAACACCTTCAAGAATTAAAGCAGTACGTGAAATCTGGATTTGAAATTTCTAGATTTAAAGGAATGCATCTTCTCATGAACACTGCACAAAATTATACAAGTAACAGTAACTCAAGCAGTTCCTTTTCATGCCCGATATTGCATCCATAATTATGCTCCCCTGGCACAGATTTTGATGTGTAACTCACACACTGACGTAACAACTTGTGTAACACACTAGGCTTTGTGTCATTCACCAGGCTGAAACTGTTGAGAGGAAATCCTGCCTGTTCAGCATTGCCTTTATGCACCCTTCCCTGCCCTTCCCTCTCAGCTCCACATCTGACTGGGCACATCTCTTATTTACCTCCCTGTATAGCTCACGTTCTTTTACACCATTCACAGTCAGATACACCATGCTGTTGGCAGCAGTATCATGGCAGAAAATAGAAGCTACCTGCTCTCTCCTGTGGCTCTGGAGTGCTGTATGCTCCTCTTTTTCTCTACAGTATGCAAACAGCAATGTGTGTGTGTGTGTGTGTTTGATGGGGTATTTGGTCTCTCTTTTTAAGCCTGCTACTTATAGCCAAGCAGCTCTGTTTATGCTGGCTCTCTCGGATTAGTTCCTCTTACATTAGGGTCAGTAGATTCTCATTGACTTCAAAACAAAGTTTAACCACAGCCATCTTTAACTTTGAAACAAACTCTACTTGTGGGTTTTGTTTTTTTTTTTTAGAAAAACATTATCTCAATATTCTTGCTAACACTTCATCCACCTGTTGTGACTCTTGGCATTGTTTGCAGTTGAGATTGCAAAAGATTGGAAAACACAAAGGAGGGGTTGGGAAAACCCTTGGGTTCCTGGTTTGGGATTCAGCTGAAACGTGTTGCTGTACGCTGACAATGTGTGGGCTTTCAGTTCAGCATGACATCCACTGCCATCGAGATGATGATATTGGAAGAGCAAAGAAACCTTTGCTCTTCCACATTCAGGTCATCCCATTCCAGGGACAAATTAACGGTCTTCTATTACTCTGAGATATCTATACTCAGTATTATTCTCAAGTACTTTTTAGGGTAAAATAAGATGCAGTAAATAGAAGTGCTGGTAACTTTCAAAATAGGTCCCACTATGTATGTATGATCAGTGTTTTTTTTATTACATATCCATAAGGAGAGGGTTTACCCTCACCAACATAAGCTAGCAGTAAGCTATTCACAATCAATACAATCTATTTCTGGGCTTTAGCCCACATGGTGCCAAGCACCTGCTGCCCACCCATTTGCACTGTGTTTATCAACACTTACTGGACTCTGCAGCTGTTCCAGGAACTGGGAGACAGCTTCACTAGTATTCGGTAAGAATTCACACCTCCACGCATTGATCAGGTTGTGTAGCCTGTGCTGTACCACCTCGAGCAGACCCAACAATTCAGAGCCTCCTCCTGACTGAGCTCACATTGCTGGGCAGCCAGAGCTCACTAACCCGGGAGAGATTTATGGTTGGCTGGAGATTTGGTGCTGATAACCTTATTTGTGGTGGTAGATTGCTCCCATGCCAGGATTAGTGCAAGACGCAAGAAGGAACACTGTGTTCTGCTATTTATGTTTTCTGTCAGAGCTCCCTCAAAGACTAACATTATTAATCCCCCTGTCAGACAAATGATGCTCAGTTTTAGGTCATCTATGCCTGTATCTCTTACACCTTGGGTGTTCCTGGAAGAGCTTAAGGTTTGATTGAAGGCTGAAGTATGAAAGTAGCAACGTGTATTAGATGTACTTATTACAAAACTCTTGTTACTGGATTGCTCCTCTCAGGACCTCTAGAACCAGCAAAATTCCAGGAGCTGCACTGGCTTAACTCAGTGCAGAGACAGTTCCCCATATGGCCAAAGCTCGGTCAGCACCTACTCCACTCACAGCCATCATGGAAACACTGTGTGACTAACAGCATTAAACAACATCTACAGTCTGCAGTGGTCCTAAGAACAAACATGCACAGAGCATGGAGAGCTGTGGCGGTCAGACATGTAGAAAACAAACCTATTTAGTAAGAACATCATTTGTACAGAACTGCTTTTCAGTGCACAAGTGTGTTCCAAACAAGAATAGTTTCCACTGTTTCCCTTTTCACGCACACGCAGAGCTTTCCAAGCCATTCACCTTTGGCGAGGATCTCATGCCTGGCCCCTACTAGAAGGTCAACTTGTTTTGCAACATGAACAGAACTCTTTCAGTTGTCAAAGCTGTGGGACAGCAAATGAATTTGCTCTTAGATGTTTTCTGTTTCATTTCATCTCTGCCATCGCATTTTTGCACCCTGAACTTCCTTAAATGAGACTTTTGCAGGCTGGTATACAGAATTTATCCCTGAAGAATTGAAATGTGTAACAGAGAAATGATGTCTGTGTTTCTTTTCTTGGTGGTGTTTTTTTTTTTGGGGGGGGGGTTGAGGCTTCTTGTTTTTGTTTGTTTGTTTGTTTGAGTAAAGACTTATTTTGGTCCCAAAAATTTGACAATGGCACAAACAGAACCAGAGCTCACACTGGTATTTGCATAATTTGCATGAGGAAGGCTGAAATGCTTGAAGAACAAACCGTGCGAAGTTCAGGAAGATGATGCTTTTCATATGTGGTAGGAAGGAAATGACAGAGGCGTGGGCAGTGGGGGAAATAGTCCCCATTATGCCACGCTGGGCTTGCTCCACAGGCTGAATTCCTTCTCAAGTACATTCTAATCTGTACATTTTCACCAAAATGGTGATTTTGCCCAACTATTTCCATACAGACCCACCGCTAACAGAACAAGCACAGACAGATGCAAGTTAGCCCTGTGTTTTGGGATGTTACTGGAAGACTGCCTCAGAAAATGTCACTGAATACCTCTACCGCTTTATCCTGGCAGTTAAGACATCCATTGGCTGGAGCTTAAAGAATAATAAGGGCAGATGAGAAGAAAGGAGGTTTGGTGGAATAACAAGAGAAATCTTAAAAACCTGCATAAGTCAAGTGTTATAAAGCATATCATAAATTAGCACACCAACAATAATAAAAAAAAATAATGGAGTAATAGAGCAGTTCAGAACCGCAGCAGAGCTATCCTCTGCTTGCAACTTCCTTCTCTTTCTGTGGTCATTGTGCTTTTGCTAACACCACTTTCATTGCCTTTATATTACCTGGGTTAAATTGCTTTCAGTTTACATTTCCTGCGCTGATTCCATGCGTTCCTTGCCAAATCTCCTTTTCTAGCAGAGGACCATTGGACTAACAAGTGCAGAGGTTGATGTTTCCCTGAGAGGCTGCATCACAGCTCACACTATACGGTCCATCCAGCTGACCCAGCTGCCCCTGAGCTCAAAGGCAGAGCCATGGAGTCACAGAACTGCTTGGGTTGGAAGGGACCTTAGAGATCATCTGGTTCCAGTCCCCAGGAGAGATGGAAATAAAGCTGGACATTTTAAATACAGTATCTTCACATGTGAAACCTGCACCTCAGATAACCTCCATGTGAAAACAAATGTACTTGGCTCACATTATCCAATTACCCATCACATCCAATAGCTCAGAATATTAGATCTGGAAAAAGATCAGAAGCGGGGAGAGGCTGCCAGGAAAGAGAAGGCTTAGGACAGTGCTTCCTCTTGTATTACCAACACAGCTGATGAAACAGGGTTTGTTTTACAGTCATCTTAGAGTTAAAAATAGCATGAAAATGTAGTACATAACAGAAAACATTTACAATTGATAAAAAAACATTTGTGGAAATTAATAAATTAACTGGCAGTATTATGAGAGGAATTATATCCCTAACACACCAGACAAAAAGGTCTGGAGATGATGCCAGAAAAGGACAAGGTCAGAGTTCAGAGCTGAATCCTCAGCCCCAGTACTTCTCACATTTACCCACTGCCATCCTTTCACCACACCCTGTGCTGCAAAACATTGCAGGTTTCAGTGTTTTGTTTCTTTACCTCTCGTTCCTTACAGCTATTCGCTACAACACAAAGGAGTGTGACAAAGGGCTCAAGCAGTCCATCTTCTGCTCCATAACTTCAGGTTTTGGGGGAAAATAGTTTTGCTATGCATTTTTTTTTCCATACATTATGTTATCCTATATATTTTTTCCTCTTTCCTCAACAGTGAAGCATTCCTTTTTCCTACCTTTCTCCCCCCCTATATTTTTCTCTTTTTTTTTCTTCCTGTTTTCCTGATTTGATAACCTCTGTATGGCAGGTAAGAGCCCAGCTGAATCCTCTATCCAGCCAAGCAAAGTCCCTATGACTCTCACAGGGACAGAGTCATTTCACATTTATTACATCTTTGAACAGACTTCAAATACTCATTTATTTTAAGCTTTAGAGCTATCGCATTTCAAATAACTTCCTCACGCTGAACTCCATCTCTTCATCTTTCTGCATGTGCCAAAGACTTTTAAAATACAGATTACTGAGAAGACTTATTGGAAATAAAAAGCAATAACAAGAAGAGACACCGAAGCATTGGAACTACACAAAACCACGACTGCACTAAAAGTCTGGATGCTTACAGGAGGATCACATTTGCACCAATGACTAAAATTAATTAGTGCCCATCTTGGCCATGTGTGTGGCTCAGAGCAGGCAACAACTCAGCACAGCAGAAAAAAATTTCCTTCTCCACAATGCAGTAAGACCCTAAGCTAAAGCTAAACTGTTCTTCTTTTTGCTTTCTCTTAAAAGAACACCCTTCACTCTGTGTCAGGAAACTTGAACATTTTTAATAATACAATTTAAATAGAACATGAACAGTTTAAAATGAGTTTAAAAAATTCTGACCTGTGATGTTTAATGGAAGATGGAAAATGCAGTCATCAGAGAAACATTATACCTCACAAGGGAAATGTTCTAATCTATTCTTAACTCATTTTTATCAATAATCCCCATAGCTGGCTTCTAACCATCCCAGATGAGTAATCTAAAGCCTGGAAAAAAGCAGCTTAGACAGATGTTATCCACATCTGCAACTCATCTGCCTAGCTATATTAACTCATTCACCTGTTAAAGACTAATTTACTGGTATATAGATGAATATACTTGAAGGTCACATAGCTAAAAATAACACTGCCTCCAGAGTTTTCTATACAGCGCATACAGTGAAATACATAAATAATCCTTGTCAGAACGCTGCTATAAAAAGGCATTGGCTTGAACTTCTAGCAGCAGACATTCCCAAGTTCATGCAGGGGTTACATTTCACAAATATAACTTAAATACCTTCTCAATGTATATAAAGTTGGGCATTTTATTTTTAGCAATACTTTGTTATTGTCATTGTTCAGGAAAGAAAAAAGCTACAGGCTCATCATGCCCCAACAAAATAATAGCATATGCCTAAAATTAGAAAAATCACATATGAATAGGGTGTTCAGTTGGTGGGGCTTTGTTATTTTTTAATTATTATTATTATTTTAAAGGAATTGCCCTGGGGCTCCCCATCCCCTGCTGCAGCAGGCAGCTATTGCAAGTTCGCCAGTACCTGTTCCCTGATAAATCCAGCCCCCTTGGGCTAAAGAGGGAATGTGGTTGTATTCTATCTTTTGCATCATTAATAATACTGCTAGCAGAGCTACGCAAACACACTGTAGTCTCTGTGCTGCCGTTACAACAGCCTCAGTAGGGCTTCATGGAATATTTATTGCTTGTCATTAAATACAAAATGGAAAAATTCTCTTCAATCCCTAGGAGTCTATGACGGCTTTCACCAACCTGAAAGAGGCAAACAAGGTTTCCATCCTTCATTAGGATGAGGAAAGCACCAAAATTACTCTTCAGCACGCAGATCCAGTGCCAAGCTATCACCTCAGTGCCACCCAGCATGGCCTTGGAAAGGTGTCAAGTCCTCCATGCACAGTCAAAGCCTTGCAATGCATTAATGAAAATGCAGCAGAAAAGCCAACGTGGCAGAACACCAGTTACATTAAAAAAAAAAGATGTGCAGCTATCAAATTCTTGTCCATAAAAGAAGTTTTCTGAGAGTCAAAACAACAATGGAAAACTATGATTCTGGTATCAACGCTGTGCCAAGTACTGTCAGAAACAGAAAGGGATTCTGCTCCAACTGAGCAGATGGAAATGTCTTCTATCGCACTGAGATAAAGCAGTCCTCCCTCCTGGGAGCTGACCTCACAGCTCCATCTGAGCAAAGCCTTCCAGCCACCCCCATGCACAGCATGCTCTGGAAGAGAATCATAGAACCACCAAGGTTGGAAAAGACCTCCAAGATTAACTAGTCCAACTGTCCCCCTACCACCAACATTCCCCCATTAAGCCACGTTCCTTGGTACCACATCATTTGTTCATTTCTTGAACACCTCCAGGGACTGTGACTCAACCACCTCCCTTGGCGGCCTGCTCCAGCACCTGACCGCTCAAAAAGCTTTGATAATGGAACTATTTTTACTATTGATCCCTATCTTGCCCAGAGATGCAAACAGAAAGACAGTGATGTCCCATGAAAAAAAAAAGAAAAAAAAGAGAGACTTCCTAAGAAAAAACAGGATGCTGGGCTCTATTCAGTGTTGTGCTCACACCTGCTCCCTTTATGGCTGCGTAAACATCCTCGACTCCCTGCAAATATCTTTACATACTGCACACAGAATGCATCTTCCTCTGACTGTGTGCATCGCTCTGTGGGAGCGGCTGCACGTCACTCAGCGTGCTCACGTTGCTAACAGGGTGCATGCATGAGTCACTCCTTATCGCATTTATGGTGCTCTGCCACAGTAGTGCAAAGACAAACACACAAATCCATTCACAAATGTTACAAAGAAATGCACAAGTTTTCCTCTTAGCAGAGCAAACAACGAGGAATCACCTATCAAACCACAAGATCAGCTGGCATCCTGGTCGATAGCATTACTTATATTTGCTTTCTCTTGCCTTACCCAATTTGATTAACTTGCATTCAGGATATGAGAATACATTCGTGTTTATTTTTCCGAACAGAGTACCATGACTGGAGTAAAGCTCTGCTGGAGCAAAATTCCGCTGAAGTCAACACTAGACTGACAGATGGGCTGGGTTACCATATGTTTCCACTGGCTGGGACACATCCTGTGACCTCAGCAGTGCCATGCAGATGCCCCATCACCTGCCTCCTGTAGGATGCTCTGGGGACTACCTCGGGGTGTTCCTGAGGAAGTGATCATCTGGTGAGGTCAAATGAGGATGCTCTGGTCAGCATACCTTTCCATTTCCACTCTCTCCACTCTTGTGGGTCCATCTCAGCTCTGGATCATTTAACACCAGGTCATGAAAGCTTCAGAAGTAGCATACATAAGGACATAAAACTTTTATATTTTGCATGTATCACGTTAATGAGCTAAAGAAAATTTAAAGTGATTAATATTTTTATTTCTTAATTACAGAAGCATCATTTTAGAAGCAATTTGACTGACTGATATGTAATAGAAGATATTTCAGGCATGTAAATGCAAACCGTCAATTCCTGACAAGTCAATAATCCTTCATAACCAGCGGCACAGAAATCTAATAAAGGAAAAGAAATTAAAGATGCGCTGTGTCTTTTCTAAACTTATTTGTGATTCACCTCTTAAATTTGGGATGGTGATTTTCTTGTAAGAGAGATTCAATATGTATAATAAAGAACAGGCTCTATCTTAAAGCATTTATCATCTTAATAAACAAAAGCCAGGAGGAGAGACAGGAAATCAATATATTCGGTTTAGGAACAATATCAGGAACAATGAATTGGGGAAAAATAATTAGAGGAAACAGAAGATAAAGCGTGCTGGAGTAATTTTAGACAGAAAAGGACAAAAACATTCTTCTAACCTGGCAGGGGAACTACAGGGAGTATGACCTGGGCAGCTAGAAGTTATAAATAGTATGGAACAATAGAGAATAAGAAATACCAGAACTTTTCAAGCCAAGGGAGAGACATGAGACTTTACAGTGCCATAAATATTTTTTAGTAGTAACTAATGATCGTGTGAGTGGGACAGTTACTTTTTCCTATTCAGTGGTTGTTTATGAGTGTCTCTCTTACCTATTTCCAGTGGGACTGTGTGTTCACAGGTAAAGACGCTAGAGAGTTCAATTGAGACAGTTGCCAAAATGACCGTACAGTTGGTGATGTAGATCTGAAACACGACAATATCTGAGGCAAAAGAAAAATAGAAAGAAGTTTAACTTCAGTTTGAGCAAAAGATGACAACACAGCCCCAGCTATCACTTTCCATTACCTTGATACTGACTGATGATGAGTTCCATGACTGATCTACGAGAAGAACCTGTCCAGTCCAATGTGGTTCTGACCATTTCACTTGAGTTTATTTCACAGAGGTAAATTTTTCTCTTCTAGAGAGCATTTTCCACGTTATAATAGCTTTCCTCTAACAGCACAGATTTCTTTCTTTCCCCTCTGCTTCGCTATCTTCATTTTCTTTAATCAAGCTGCAAGGTACAGTACTTGGGGCGTTTACTATCTGCCTGCATTGCACAAGGAGAAGTTATAAGCAAGGCAGCATAAGAAGAAAGATGTGGTAATGGTAAGCAAATTTGGGATCACTCCGTAACGCCTCTTTTGTATTAAAAATCCTCAATATTTTCTCTAAATCAAACTCAGGCAAGACCATCTCCCAATGTAATTGGTGATGTACCCAGTTCAACTTTTGGATTTTTCACTCAAATCCCCTACTCAGTTTATGTTAATCTATTTATAGCCATCGCTGTAACCATCCAGTTTTCTGACCTTTCATGGGTATTTCATTACGTTCTTCGTTTTCCAAACTGAGTCAACTCTTGCTTCCGAGTTATTTCTGAAGACAATACAATATGCAGAGATAATGCAGTATTTTCTTCCCTCCAGAAGTTTCCTCAGTAATTTTCTTATTTCATTTCAGAAGGCATTGTAAATACACCCAACCACATTTCTATTCTTCTTGGGCCATTTCATCAGCTGCTTTTAAACAGCAGAACTCTGATTTGGGTACCCAGTCTTCTGAGTCTCACCAAAATCAGCAGCATGACACAAATTTATGTTCAACTAAGATTTAGCCCAAATATATAATCTCTAAGTACTGGCATTAATTATTTATTAAAAAGTTGGAAATACATATATATACTTTTTTTAAAGCCTAAATATAGCATAAACAGAGAAAGCATTGAAAAATAATAGTATGTGTAAACACAGTATTAGAAGAAATATTCTTCTCTGAAAGAGTAGCGATGGACTGGAATGGGCTGCCTGGGGACGTGGTGAGGTCACCACCACTGGAGGTGCTCAGTAACCATGGAGATGTGGCATTGAGGGATATGGGCAGTGGGCATGGTGGAGGTGGGTTGGTGATTGGACTTGATGATCTTGGAGATCTCTTCCAACCTTAATGATTCTAGAAAAAGGGTAAACAGAACTCCTTTGGACTAACTTTGTGTTCTGTCATCTACCATGACTTGCATTCACTTTTATGACACAAAGACTGGTGGCTTCTAAGCTGTCCAAAAGGCATTTGGGAAGGTTCATAAACCTGTCCCATCGTGAGCACCATCAGGCACAGAGTTGCAGGATCCCTGGCAGAATATATTTTTCAAGTCTTGATTAGAGACTGCTGGCAGCTATTTTTAAATCCTAGAATACAGGCCTAACAAGGACAGACAATTAAACTAATTCTGTATTTGGAGACATGCTTGCTGACAGAGGATTTGGCTTGACTTCCCGTTGCTCTTTTCTGACTCCAGCGATTCAATATTTTACCTGTTTTCAAGCTAAAAGGCCAGGACTAGATGAGTTTGATTCGCGTGCGATTTATATGACAGATTAAATGCACTTACAAATTCTTGTCTTGGTGCTCCTTTGCTTCTCTTCCTCCCTCGCCTCTGCTCTAGGCAAGAAATAAAAATACCTCTGCCAACAGAAAGGTCTATCTGACCTCATTATACAAAGTCTGGTCATAAACATTTTGTCTGAATAAGGGTTTTGCAAAATGATGTTCCTGCTGTGCTGTAGGACGGACTTTAACTGCAAATGTAGGTAGACAGAGCCAAAAACCTTACCAGCATAGGTTTGGAACAACCACTGACCAATAATCTCTAATAAATAAGTGAAGCCATAAATAACAGTGAAATGCAGCAGGGAATTTGAGCTAAGACATCATGGCTTACCCTGCGTGGGGTAAGCTGTTATTCACTCTCTATCTACAACCTCATTGATCTTCCAGTGGCTTTCTGTTGACTGGGAAGGAAGGACTGTCCCAGCTTGTTAGCCAGATCAGAAATAAGACCTTATGAACTCATTCCATTGTACCCTCTCCACGTACTCACACAAAGGTGTGGCCATGGGTACTTTTCACCAGCTAGGTGAGCCTCCTGCCAAGTCTGCAGCACCATAGCACTAAAAGCTGCTGAGTATATTTGCACATGGAATAACAGTGGTTCCTGAAAGCCTTTCTTCCACTTACCGATTTGGTCACCAGAGAGTGTAGATGTGGGGCATATGGCACCTTCATTTTACACCAATGAAGCACAACACTGAAGCTGAAATAACTTATCTTGCAGAAAATCTTTTACAAGGTTGAGAACAGAATAAAGCCCAAAGTTTACAGACCAGTGATATAATCACAACGTCCAGCTTTTATTACCTAATTATTCTTACTGAAACCAAATTAGCATTGGATACATTGGGACATTAGCCAGGGAAAATATAACAAGAACTGACCCAGTGGGAATTAAAAGTTTGGCTTGTGTTATTCCAGGCATGTTAATATTTACATTCATCCCCTACAGAGGCTAATCTGAAATTTTGCAGTGGTTCCCAAAGAGCTGAGAAGGTCTCTGAGGGAAGGACGGATGCAGAGAAGTTGCTCACTGTGCTTATTACCTCATCCAGTCCCCAAGTAGCATCTCTGGGTCTGATTTCAACTGCTCCAACCTGTTTTTTCAGGCTGAACCTGAAAGAGTTTGGTTTGGATGAATGCCCATAAAAGATATACAAGCACTACCTGTGTTTACTTGTTCTAGCATTATTTTTAGTTGCTGCCCATATCTGCTACTCCACAACAAGAACAAAGCAATCCTTTGATTTCTTCATGGAAGAAAATCATGATCCCTTGAACAGAAATGCTATTTGTAGCCCATGACATACTGAAAACGCCTATAAACATTGACATTTTTGTGTTAGGTGAGATACCAAGGAAGCCATCATTTGCTATTTGTGGAAAAACTGAGCATCAGACAGGCTCAAGCTCCTGCATCTTCCTTTATGGAACCAACAGGACAGTTACCCAAAAATAAAACAGTAATCCTAAAAGCAAATTGCCCACATGGAAATATTTCCTTACATGCTATTTGGCATTTAATGAGTAGGTGCAGCAAAACTGTACTTAGAGGAAGGAAAAAGAGCGTGGCAGGAAAACAACTGCATGATGTTGTACTAAAACATTGTAAGTTCTGCGCTCAGAGAAGCATGTTGAGTAGCAGAAGGAAACTCAGGGCTGGCTGCTGCTTGCTCACATCCCAGTTCTGTGCTGGCTCCAAGACCTCACCTACACAAGGCAGTATGTCCCACAATAGCCTTGTAGGAACATTTTGGCACGTTTGAACCAATGCAAATATTTCTTACTTCAAGCATGCGTGGGATTTATAAAAATCACACTGCCACAGAAATCAAAGCATCCTTGCAGTAGTTTATATTTGCAACTTGAAAAACCAAAGAGGTACTATCATTTGCAGTAACCTATTCTGATGGTGTTAACCTTGCTCTGGTAGTTACTAGAAACTGACCACGCAATCTCCCACCTCAGAACTCTCACCTAGAAATCTCATCTTCTAGAAATTCTTGCCATTTGCCTCAGAGTTTTAAATTATAACAAGAGCCAAACTGTCTTCGCTGCCAGGGACATCAACAGAATTTGATATGTGCAACAGAACAGGATTTGTGCCACATGCAATAAATCACAACAGAAGTGTTATCTATCTTAAGCAGGCTAGATTTCAAGTAATAAAAAAAAGCTGGCAGTCATGCACTGAAGCCTTCAGTAAACACATCACCTCCAACACACAACCAGCAACACCAGGAAACTCCCAGAAGTTTCTGGACAAAGATTTTTCTTCACCTGACCCTTAATGAGCCTCCTGATAGTAACTACATTATCAGGATGCTTCTGGAAGCAGGCTCAGCTATTCATGACCAAGTATTGTGAGAGTACCTCTGATTTACTGCTGGGATAGGAGTGTTGAGCCTGAAGGCTTCTGCACACTGTGGGAACACATGGGGCTTTGAAAGCATCATCCATAGACCCACAATAAGTGTGACTTGTGAGATGCTATTCTTAGCTCAGTGAGCAATTACCAACACATTAGTTATAGGATCACATAAGCAAAGAAGAATACGTTTTTCTCTGAAGTTTAGGCATAGTGAGGGAATAATGATCTGGGTAAAGCATTACTGTAGGACTGGGACCATGTACCTTGGTAATGAAGGACTCTCACTGACCAAAATAATTCTGACTTCCCCAAGTTTGCTGAGGTGAATATCTGCCACTGTTAGTCCCTAAAGTGATTTGAGCACCAAAGATAATTAAAGAAGATGAACAGCAGAGTTATTCCCTTGCCTTAGGGCACTCCTGTGCCTCAGGCTTGGTCTCTGCACATCTTCAAGCAGGTCCTTTGGATCTGGAAAGCTGCTTTGTTAAGCCCTCAGCACAGAGTCATTGGTTCCCACCACACTTTGCAGCAGGAGGTGGTAAAACCCTTTTGGCAGCACCGTAACGAGCTGTACGTTCTGCATCCGTTCCCGCTGCAGTCGGGTGTGTTCCGAGGATGTCAATCACACAGCAAACAGCTCATCGGGACTCGTTCTGGCCCAGCTTACAAAGACAAAGAGTCTTTTCCGAAGATGACACTGAGAAGCAAATTTAAGTCACAATCAGCTGGAACAAGACGTTACAAAATGGCTCAGGGTTTATGATAGGCAGCTTTTCTTTGTACAGAATACCCCCTTTTCTGAGGCTGATTACACAGAAGAGCAGGAAGCATCATCTTACTGAAAATGGGAAGGAATTGGTTGTTTCACATGCAGCAATCAGAGAAGAAAAGCAGGTACAGTTCCAAGTGAATGTCACCTTGTAAAGGGCTTGAACATAAAGCCAGAAATTCATGAGGGTTTAAAGCCACGCTCACACCATTTAGTTTTGAACCTACAATGCTTAGAATAAAATTTGTTTCTCCAGCCCAGTAACCTGTTTAATCCTAGTAAGAGTTTTGTACTATGAATGCAACCGTATCCACAGTGTATGGAAGAAGAACAAGTGCTTTAATCAGAACATGATAAAGATCTATTCAAGAGCAGACAATAGAAAAGAGATGAGAGAGAATGGAATAGAAGGGGATAAGTTGACTATAAGGGGAAACTCTTTGCAGCACTGTCTTTCCCTGCCAAGCTCAGGACGACCAAGGAGAGCAGTCCCAGCAGCTCTGCTGCACTGGGACACTGCTGGTCCTGCTCACAGTGCAAAAAGCAGCATAGGGCCATTTCTCCTCATCCATCTGTTCATTCTGCAAAGCAATTTGTAAAGCAGTGACAGATTTTAAGATAAAAGATTTTAAACAGAAGTCATTTTGTTTTCATCTCTCGACACAAAGCGGAGTCATACAAGGCTGAGATCCTGGGAGCTGATTATCTTTCCCCTTATAAACCAAATGTTGCAGTAAGTTTCTGTATTTCCTGCATCCTCAGCCAGGGCAACAGTAGAGGAATCAGATGCAATAAAAATCTGTTGCTAAAACATACACTGAAACACGACCTGAGCTGGAGGAACAACTGCCGCACATTGCATACAATTCAGAAGGGCATTTGGGTTCCTGCTGTCGTTAGGAGTTGTATTTTAATAACTGCAGAACACGATATGCTTAGAACTGCGTGCAAGAGCTGCATGGCAGTGCAACATGAGCAGCAGCCTGCGCTTTCCCTTGGTTCACGCTAGGCAAAGTATCATAATTTCTTCTCTCTCCAGCAGATTTTATGCCAATGTGTACCCAAAAAGCTGTCATGCAGTCTCTGTCCCCGTGATGTATTGCACCAACCCCTCATTTCCCACAAGCTCATTTTTAAAGAGCTTCTGTTCGTTTATGTCTGCCTCAGAAAAGGTCTGCATTGCTTTTCCCCCAACCCCGCCAAGACTAATACAGAAAAAGCCTGAGCATCAATCAGGTTTCATAACCAATTAGCCAGCAGATACTCTGGCTGCATTCGCTATTGGCCTCTTTCGGCTGTTTTTGCTTCTAAAATTAGCTCAGCTATTTCCTGCACAGAGGCTCAGGAGAGCAGCAGACTCATAGCAAGGGGCTGCAGCACAGAGCATATAGCAAAGCCCTCTCCATGGGGCTGCACGGGGAAAGGGGAAACTGCCCACCGCCTGTAAGGAGCAGGCAGAAATGGGCACACAGGATTAAAAGTTGCTTATGAACTCCATCCACAGCATCTCCAGAGCTCCTGTTGTTATTTTCACACAACCTTGCTCCTCTTTGGCTCGCTGCTGAGCAGCCAGCATCTCACATCTGGCGATAAAATAACATGCATGCCCTGGGTGCAGTTGCCACAGTCACCAAGAGGTGAAAGCCATGATTTCTAAATATGGTTCCCACCTCATTTTTCAGGAGTTGTTGTTTTCAATTGATGCACTCCTACAAAATCCATAGGGTACGTTTTGGTAAGTTCCGATATCCCCTCGGTGAGCAATGTGTTTATGCCCCACTCCGTGCAGGCTCTGTTTACATACTTCTGTCTGGGGGAAAAAGATTGGGCCTCAATAAAAAGATAGGTTGCACTTCTCCAACATGTGTACATTTTCTCCCATCGCTCAGATTTGCTTCCCCCAACAGCCAGCCCGAGTTAGAAATCGCAAGCAAAGCAGCTGCTTCAGGCCACGTTGCAATCAGTCTCATGCAAGACATTTAACAGAAGCTATTTGCTTTTAGAACAAGGAACTGACAAATCACGACCTGCTGTGGGCTGCTCTGAAAGGTCAGCTTAGGAACATATCTTTTCAAGTGAGGTGTGGCATCTGCAGAGAAATGGTTAGAAAAACAAGAACACTGGCTGCTCTCAAAAGGCCTGCTCCAGCAGCAAGCACTTTTAAAGGAAAGAAAGTAATCGAGTTGCACCAGAATGGGCTAATAAATAATGCTATGCCTCCAATGTCTGTGATGGCATTTTGTGAGGATAATGCCAGAGGAGCTGTGCTAAGGTACGCCTCATAAAGATAAGCAAAGGGTTGCTTTATTGAACACATGTTGTAAAAAGAAAGAAGATGCTCACTAAATGAACGAAGGCAGCTTTAAAACAAACCTGGGTTTCTGGGGAAACTACAACTGTTTGCTCTATAAATCCAGAGCATCCCTTTGGGGCAGGAGAACTCGGCAGCACGATGAGCAGCACCATCAGGTGTTTATATAGGGGCTGGAAGGAAGGGAGCAGGCAGAAGAGATCACTCACCCTTCTGTTTGTTTCCTGCTTCCTGACGCCTTTAAACCACTATTATCAAAAGACTGAGTATTTGCTTCCAGGATTTTCTTAAGATCAAAATTAAGAACTGAAATACAGAAAAGGGAGGATTCTCTTTGCAGTTGCTGTTAATGTCTTTGTATAGCTGAACTGCAGTTTATGTAAGCAAGCATTGACGTGCAGGCACACCAGTAACTGATTAAAAATCACTCACCTACATCTGCACATGGGAATATTTAGCTCATGTGAATGCTGCTCTGCTTCTGCTCTTCTTATGTCTGAATTTATTGACTCTAAATGATAAGGGAGACAAAAGTTAACAAATCCTAAAACGTTTTACCTTCAGTAGCTGCATTAGATTTGATTTCAGCAGTTACAAAAATACACAGGAACTGGTGCTGCTGCAGACTGATTCTATCACTGATGGCAGGCACTCAGATCACTGGTGCCACCTGAGACTCTTCCAATTGTTAATTTTTTTGCAGTACACCAAATCTATTTTTTAAAATCATAGAATCATTATGGAAAAGACCTGTAAGATCATCCAACCGCCCACCTAACACCAGTATTTCCTCACTAACAACATTCCTTAATACCACACCTTCTCAGTTCTTGAACACCTGTAGGGACAGTGACTCCATCACCTCCCTGTGCCAATGCCCAACCACTCTTTCGGAGAAAGTTTTTCCTCCCCTGGCATAACCTGAGGCCATTCCCTCTCATCCTATCGTTGTTACCTGGGAGAAGAGGCCGATCCCCATTTTCCCACAACCTCCCATTCAGAGCACTGTATGAGGTCTCCCCTGAGCTCCTCTTTCCAGACTGTCCCATCCTATTTCCCTCAGTCATTCCTTGTAAGACCTGTGTCACAGACCCCTCACAGCTCCATTGCCCTTCTCTGGACATGCTCCAAGTGTCTCTCACGTCATAACTACAGACATTCAGAGGCTCCATTCCACCATCAACATAAGGATTCTGGCTGAATGCACTTCAGGTTAAAGGAAAAAAAAACAAGAGAAAACATTTTCCAGAATCTGCTCTTCAGAAAGTGGTACATACAAGTCAGAGTGCTGTATGAACACAAGCCCAATTTTTTTCTTCCGAGACTGACATATAAGTCAGTGGTACACAGCAGTTCTCTCCTGCTTTTCAGCTAATGCACTAAAGAATCACCTCCATTTCAGTAGTGGCATCCACGCCCTGGGCTCTCATGGCTAAATTTTATTTCTTATAGTTTCTGGTGTACTTGTTAGTGTGGACTTCACAAATGGCATCTGAAATCTTTGTATCTCTCCATCTCTCACCACCAAACACATTAGAGAGGGAATGCTGTTTTGTGCAGGAAATGATGATAAAACCCCGCTGCACGCTATGCATACCAGGAGAACAGGATGTTGCACTTGGAATTCCACTGAAAGACATTATTCTGTTAGAAAGAAATGAGGTTCTTCATCTTCGTTTGGCACACGAATGCCAAAATCCAGGATGGATGTTGAGAGGCTTAATCAAATGCAAGAACATTTTTCTGTGACAATGGGTATCTGACCCTGCTGGGAGAGCAAGGTAACAATTATTTTTGTCCTTTTCCTTGTAGGGGAAGGTGGCAGTAGGGAACTTGCCTTAATTGACACTGGATCAAAAATAACAGCAATAATCCATGTAGGATTTTGAACTCAGATTGAAGGCTGTCAAAGACAAAAATGACATCATCAAAATGTTCACAGAGATACTGAAACTGAGAATTTTAAGCCTCCTGACTCCTGTATACACACAGACAGAAACAGGATTACGTCAGAACATAGAACGTAACGCACCTACTCATGAAGGTGACATATAATCCTACAAGTACAAAAAACAAAACAGGAAATTGTATTAAAGTAAGCAAAAAACCCAAAGTGAAACGAGAACAGGAAGCCATTAGCTGCAAGTCTTGAAGAAAAACAAGAACGTTAGATTCTTTTCATTCCTGTTAACAATTTAGATAATGTCCAAACTGCAGGCACAACTGCTCTCTTTATTATCAGCTGCCAAGGAGGGTAAATGAAGACACAAACAAAAGGGACCATTAGAGAACTGACGTAACTGAACACGAGAGCCCATCTCCTTATTTAAGTAATTTAAAAAAATAATACAACAGCAGTGTTAGCCTAATCAGTGTCAACATATAAGAGGCAGTGATTAATTTAACATGCTCTTACTCAGTTAACATAAGACTACACCAGACAGATTACTCTTCCCAAGGGCTCTCTCACTGATCATATTAAGAAGTTAACTTCTTCTTGCATATTTAAAGCTGAATCATGACAGACCCTGTAAGTTATAACCTGGCTATGAGCAGTGCTCAGCCGCACCTACTTTCCTCAGACCTCCAACTAAGTGAAGTCAGCACAGAGCAGACAAATCCAGCAAGCTACAGCAGTGCTTTACTATATGTGGGCATGGATGCCAGCCTCTGCTGCATGTTCTGCATTTTTACTCCAAATAAGCTTACCTTATTTACCTTTATTGCCTTACAGCTATGCTGTAGCTTATGTAGATACAGCCTGAGAACATGAAGATCAAATAGCTAGAGAGGACCTCATGTTATCAGTTCTGTTTTCTCTGAGCTTACGACTTGAAGGCAGGATACTGTGAAGGCACTCGTGAGCGAGAAGCGCTGGGTGACATCTGGACTTGGTACTGCCTCTGCTCGGTTCACAGAGGAAGAGTTGTCTCTGCAAGCTCATCCTCAGCAGTTCCTGGCATGTTATCTTTGGAAAAATGAGATATTCCAGCTGACTAGATCCCCACTCATCAGTATCACAAGTCTTCCTGGCCAGATCAGACAACACTAAGCTTGCAACATGACCCAATAAAAAAATAAGGATCAGTCAGTAAAATCTATGGGCATCTATTAACATTGTAATTGCAGTCCCCAAAGAAAGGCGTGTCCAGCCTTAATTTGGTCTTGCAAGTTGTACCCATGAGACATGAGAAAAAGTAATTGCTTTGCTATATCCCAAGGTAGTTTTTAAGCAAAGCAAATGCAAGTGCAGATGTAGTTGGTGTGTGGTGAAGTATCATTAACAGCGTGAGTACTAACCATGTATGTAGTGCATCACATCCAAAATATGCCTCAAGGTATGAACACTTGCAATGTTTTCAAAGTCCACTGAGGAAGCTGGACAAAAAGATGACACTGCTCCTGAGGAAGTGACCCCTGCCTCCTATTTATACACACTATACACTACACAATAGAAGAAATGGGATTTCAAGGAAAAAAAAAAACAGATATATCAACTACTGCATTCTTTATCTTCAAAGATTAAGAAAAAGTGGAAGTGTACATCAGGGCAAGATCAATTAGTACTTCAGACAAAAATCAGACATTTTAATAAGTTAGCATTTTGTAATTTCAGAGTTGCATCTGTGTCCATAAATATTATCCTCTATTCTGGGTTTTGCTTTATTATGAACTTGAGGACAAAAGGAGGACAAGAAAGGAAATGGAAGAATAGGAAAACAACAAGGAAAGAAGAAATGTTTAGGTAAAAATAAAGGACAGGAACAGCACATAGAAGCATTTCTACTTTAGTAGTTCAGTCCACGGTATAGCAGGATAAAATAGTGACGTTAAACAATGAACTTTCACCAAGTTTGTAAATAAGCAAGAGAACAGAGAAGTATAAAACCCTCTTATAAACAGTGGACTGAGAACAATATGGACTCAAGCCCAGTCTAAATTAAACATCTCATTTTTAACTCATTGCCCTCTCAGAGATGTTCTGGACTTAAACTTACTTACAACAGGAGAAAAAACATGACAGATATTTCTTATCTGCAAGAATTTCTGATGAAAACTGTTTAGCAATACAGCAAATGGCTACTGAAAGGCACGGAACCAACCACATTACTTACTGATCAGCCTTACCACACCTACACAAATTATTCATGTGAGAAATCAGACTTCATTAGGACCTTTGTATGCACATCAGTATTTGCAGAATCAGGAATCAAAGTCAAATGCTGAGAAAAAACCCTTATGCTAATATTTATACATAGATGCATATAATCAGATAGGGTGTGACAACCAGTTTACAACCATAAAGCTGTAAACTGAGCTCCACCATTATTTATATCTTCAGAAGAGAAGGATAACAAACAACTTCCTCACATGTGTGCCTGAGACATAATCCAAACCTAATCAAAACTCTCTGGGAATATTGTTTGTCATTAAAAACCACTAGGCCACATCAGTCCTCTGCAGTGGAGCAGCTGATGCATCTGATAATGTGCCTGATTCCTCCATTAGTATTTTTTATTTTCTTTGGGGAAGAAGTATTTGAATGTGCCATTTCAAAATGAAGGATCTCAGACGGACAAACACAGCCTTTATAGCAGAACACCCATTTGGACTTTGGCTTCACTGCAGTCAAGATTGCTATCTTTAGAGGTAGGCTATGCCAAATAGCAAGGAATTATATTTACCAAGATATGAAGATTGTAAATTCAAACTGTAAATCTAAAATAGAACCTGAAGCATACAACGTACCTACTGCTGCTGTGAACACAATCATTACAACTTTACAGCAGTTGTGACCTCTGAACTCTGAACCGTATATTGTGTTTGTCTGTGCAATAAACTGTGTGATGCAAATTTAGCTCTGCAGTGACAGAGAAGCCACTTCACTGTCAGGAAAAAACTGCAGCAAACATATGATGCAGTTAGCCAGATACAAACACTGCATGAACGTCACTACAATGACCCTGCTCCATCTAACATGAAAACCAAGTAGTTTTAAGTAGTTCTGGGGCAGGGGAGGTTCAGGTCTGATATTAGCAAGCATTTGTTTTCCAAAAGGGTGGTGATACATTGGAATGGGTTGCCCAGGGAGGCGGTGGCATCACCATCCCTGGAGGTGTTCAAGAACTGTTTAGTTGTACTGAGGGACACGGTTTAGTGAGGAAATATTGGTGGTAGTTGGACAGCTGGACTGGATGACCTTGGAGGTCCTTCCCAACCCTTGGTGATTCTATGATTCTATATATAGAAGCTGCAAAACAACTGTCTGTGAGATAAAGGCCACTTTACTTGTTCTTCCAATTTGAGTACTTTGTTGGTTTTGAGCTCCATTTTTCAGCTCTGATGTCACAATTCTAATTCCAGCATCATCTCATTTACAACCACTGATGACTTCCCTCACAACAGGAGAAGACCTGATCTCTGCAGCACACCGAGCCCTGTCATTTACACCAGATTCCTTCCTTTCAACGGGACACAGCTTTTACCATTTTTGGTATCTTAAGTCTACGTCAAGCTCTTTGTGCATGTAGTGAGATTCCTGTTAAGTAACACAGACAAAACTGTTAATACTGTTTTCAGTGGCTTCAAACTGTTAGCAGATGGCACAGCATGCAGCTTTAAGTGATTCACGAAACATAAAAAGGATAACAATCTACTGGAAGTGTCTCATCCAGCTTCAAAGCACTGAACTTACGTTCCAGTTACACAGAATTCGGATTTCATTGCATCATTTGAAGGGTAGACAATGTGTTTTTTTCTCCCTTCTTCCCTTCCCACCACATTAACATCACTAGGGGCTGGGCCTTCAGAGCCAGAGGTTACAGCGTTCAATATGAACACATCAAAAACTGTTCCTGAAATAGTCAGCCAAGGATTTTCTTCTGGCTTTGGCTTCTGTATTTGTATTTCATGGTAAAGTTACAGTTGCAATACTCCATGTGTATAATACAAAAGGTAACTGGGAGTTCATACCCCGTTGGGTAACTGGCAAAGAAAGAGAAATATGGAATTAAACTCTCCCACACATTAAACAGGGCTGAGTGTGTAAATGAGGTACACAAGGACATATCCACAGAACATACAGCTATCATGTTACCAGCAACTTAAACAGCTTTGTCGTAGTGACTGCTCCTTTAAGGAAGGTATTGAGGACTGTTTCCACAACTGGGATAAGTAGCTATGGGAAGCAGAAGCTTCTATGTGGAGAGCAGCATCTGTAATACGGAGCACACCAACAGTCCCCCCTTCTGCAGTCGCTGCACTGATGAAGCTGCCAAGTGGCTGGAGCACAAGCACAGCACCATGTGAAAGAAGAAAAGATCAGCATCTAGAAATATATTAAGCTCCAGAGACCAATCTGACTTGGCAATTGCTAGGAAGCACAGAAGCAGGAATCAAAATAGTAAGCTAAGAATCAGAGGACAGTGTCAACAGAAAGCAATCCTAACACAGTTTTGCACGCTAGTCCCACAAACACCTGAGGATTGAGACTCCTTTTGATAAGTTCAGATGATTTTTTTTCCTTAATTTGATTAGATTTCAGTGTATGCTTCCATTTGAGCCAGCTCAATGCAGCAGGCAGCGGGAGTTGGGCAGATGCAGCATGCAGAGGTGCACTCAGGGAGCCCCAGGGGCAGGCTGAGCTCCCAGACTGGGGAGCTGGGGAAGCAGCCAGCAGACTTGGCAGCAGCATCACTGTCAGCCACACAGTTCTGCAATACCTGGCAAGGTGAGCAGCATGGATCCAGCGATGGTGGCCAGCCTCAAGCGTGGTCCAGGCCTTCTGACATCAGATGAGGCAGGTCAGTGTTGAGTTATGATGTTGTACCAGTTGGTAAGTGTCAGGATTAGGTCTGCAGACAGCAGCAAGGGTGAGGCACCAGCAGCAATCACCAAGCAAGGTCTGGGCATACCAACTGGGCAGGTCTGAAGTCAAATCAGAAAGTCAGCCTGTGGATCAGAGCCAGGCTGGGTCAGTAAGACAGCCAGACACAGGAATGGCTGCAACACAAGGACCTCAGATGTAGCAAGGACAGGGAAGGGTTATAATGCCCTGGGAGCCTTGGCAAGGTGATTTTTTTGTTGCACAGTATCAAAGGCAAATCAAATGCATTAATTTAAATGCACAGAGTGAAAATACAGAATATTCTTCTTAAAGTAGCTGAAGCATAAAACAAAGATCAAGATTCTACCTTTGATTTTTTT